GTTGGGCTGTGAGCTGACATTGTCAAATGCAGGAGGTTAGCCTCCCGGCGGCCTGCCAAGGTAAAAGACTTGAGGAACATGCTGTGGGGCCGAACATGGCGCAGTTCCGCAACGACCCGGTCACACTCAGGGACTTCAACCAGTTCCGCGTGGTGATCACGCAGCCAGACGCCACCGGCGCGACCACGTTCTGCGGTGTGGTATGTCACTTTATTTTGCTCAATGACTTCGACCTGACTCTGGCATTGGTAGATGACTCACGGGACGCAGGGGTCTGGCAAGTTCGAAAAGGAATTGTGCAAGGCGGCGTAATGCGAGAGCGAGAATAAATACAAGACACTGTTGAATCTCTATTGGATTATTCCTGTTGCTTGCATAATTGCCCGAGTCGTATTTTGTTACCCCAGAGTGTTGCCACCCTGGCAGCGAGGAAGCAAATTTGAGGATAGCGATAATATATGGGCCGTCTGCGAGAGGCTCCTCGGGTAATTGGAAAGTCACTCCTTCCTTGTGCCTCGCAGGCCTTCGCCGCCTTTTCGAGGCGCTCCCGCTTCGCCCTCGCCTCCGCCTTGTTCCGCCCTTCCTCAAAATCCGCGGCAAAAAATATCCCGCTTCTCTTCCTCCGTCAAGATTTTCGGCTTCGGGCTCGTGTGGGGCTCGCTCAGTGTGGGTGCCCTCGTGCGTCTACGGCCGTGTACTGCGGCGTGCAGATGGAGCGATGTCGCCCTTGCCTAGGGGAATCTCGAGCGGAAAATCTTCGTCTAGGCTCTGGCCACGGCTAGGCCTGGGCGAGGATAGAGCAACCGGCCGCAATGTGTTGTCCCCGTTAAAATTGGTGTCGGAGGGTGCCTACAAAAGTAACTTATACAAACTACCTTATCCAGCCATAAGTTAACTTGACCTAACTTGTCGCTGGGTAAGTGAGTTTAGCAAGTCAAGTTAAGTACTAGGAAGCTCCGACTCTGTCGGAATAGACCTTGCTTGCACAAAAGCTCAGCGCCTCAGCCTGAAGAACTTTGCTAGCTCTGCTCCGCCAGGGTCTTTGAAGAACTTTTCACTGAGCATGGGTCGTCGTTGGTTCGAACGGTGAGTCGACGACGTTAGGGCTGCCACCGTTGCCGTGACGGGCACGGGCGTCGTTTACTGCCCGTCGATTCGGATTTCTGAGATCCGACGGTACGGGACGGCCGTCACGGCTGTCGACGAGGGTCAATTTTGCTTGGGTGTTCTATTTGAAGGTAATGTCCATCCTACATGATGTATTGTCATGCTGGAACACCCATTGAGGTACTTACTGCTCTTCTGGACCTTGATGGATCCGACCAATGCACTAAATAATTGAGTTGAAATATACGGGCTTTCCTGAAGCGGATCGATGGTCCGGCAGTCTCGGCTGAGTTCGGTATAATTCTCTGATGGGTCCCAGCAGTCTAAGAAGACTCAAAATGAGTTGTGAATGCTAAAAGGTGGGTGAATGGACCACATAGAACAGTATTTGAAGCCAAGCTATTATGATATACCTGTGTACCGTCAGCGTGCCGTGACGGCCGTGTTTCAACGGGCCGTTTTTTTGACACGCGAGATCTCCGACGGAACGGGGTGCCGTCGAACCGTCGCAACGGCAACGGGCGGCAGCCCTGTGACTCGTGAATTGATGTCGTGTTTTGAATTTAGGTAACGTAGAGGGTCCAGAACTCGATGTCGGGAGGATTAGGATCACCGGGTGACCCAAAAGTGGTGCCATTATGAGGGTGGAGAGACCTTGACAAGCAAGGTGAAAAGTACAAGTTTTTGATGCCATCTGATCCTATAAGTTACTTTGTTTGATCTAACTTGGCGGGTAAGGTGATGGCAAGTAACTTATGGGGACGTTAACTTAAGTAAGTCCTGCAAAGGCCTCAAGCTACTTGAGTCAATCAGTTCTCTGTGATACCAATACTCTGCAGGTAGGCCCTCTTGAGCAATGCCCCGAACCAAGTCGGTCATCGCCAAGGTATTACTGGCCACAGTTCCGGCAAATGTGCTTTAGCAAGAGATCTTGGGTCAATAACATCCTAGTTCACTGGCCCCTCAGTCTCAACTGACACCCATAATGTATGTTCTTTTGTAAGAGACTCTACAAAGAATCAAGAATATTTTGTTTTGACCGCTAGGTAAACACCGAAATCGACTCATTTGATTTAACCATCCGTGGACTGCGAAGCCGCAAAACAGCAATGGTTTTCAGTGCCTTCCAAGTTCACTTCCCTGCTCCCAACTTCCATTTGTATACAACTGACATCTACGGACAATAATTGAACCGTGGGAACTGTTTGTCCCGGCATAAGGCTGATGTATGAATCGTACGTCGAGCCAAGTTCTCATTCCCCACTGACTCGTCGGCCCTCAGATTGAAAGGTCAAGATCGGTTAGTATTCATATTTGGAGCGACAACGGCCGCAGTTGACGATGGCGCGTCGATGGATAGTATGGGTTGATTACTCAATGCCAATGGAGGGTGAGGGAAAGTCAATGAGGTGTGGGAGGGAGGGAAGTATATCAAACTTATGGTTAATTTTGAATTTGAGGCTGCCCTGCCTCGAGGAGCTGGATTGAACGGGCACACTAATAGCCGTGGCAGAGTTTGAAATAAGTTAGTTTGCCACGCGTGGGAAGAACTTAAGTTAACGTACGGCAGAGATGCCGAAGGAGGTAAGTAAAGGTAAGTTAGTTTGTATAAGTTACTTTTTACGCACTCGTGTCGGAGTCAGCATCGGAGGCGGAATCAGTGTTGTCGTCGGATGCGGAGTAGTCTGAACTTGGCGGTGAGTGCTCGGTTTTGCCATCCTCCTTTGTATAGTCAACATTACTGCTGTCGTCCTTCTCCTCTGCCTTCATGCTTAATTCCCCGCTGATGTTATCGTGAACTTGATGTACAAGCCCAAGCGAGTGTGTGAGTCACCAACTCAATCTGTTGAGTGGTTTCCTTGGAGTCGCCCCCCCCCCCCCCTTAGAAAAGATCTCAACCCAATGTATCGTTGGCAGGACGGATCCCGTCGACCGGGAGTCTCTTCAGACTGCCCAGTAACGATCAACCCTGGGCACCTCAACTCGTTTGTTTCCCTTTTTTACTTGCAATTTTCTCTTCAACGGAGCTCTAGGACCGGGTTCCACTGCCAATCAAACGGCACAACACAGACACTAATCGGCGCTTCGGTGACCCTCGAGCACAACCTGGCATGCACCTATACAAATACTACGACCATACCCAGCATGTGCCTGTATGACGCGGTATGCAACAATCTTGAGCCTCTTGCGCCTTCCGCCGATTTGAATCGACCGTTCAGCATGGTACGACACTAAATACGACTTCCGCCCTCTGCCCTGTTTCAGCTTCAGCAGCAAATTCAACAGGCAACTCTACGTCGTAAATAGGATCCCAACCGTATTCATTCAATTTCAAACCCATCATCATGTTGACCAGCTTCAACAACGAAAGCAACAGCGCGAGCGGGAATGCCTCGAATAACCCATGCCCGCAACCGAACAAGTCCGGAGCGAGTCTCGCCAGTTCGTCTATTTCACGTGGAACGGACGGTATGGTGTCGTGCACGTACGCCGATAACACCCAATGCACATATCTATCTGTTGTGCGTCCTGCATATTTTAATTAACACTCTCGGCTCACTCATCATCGCGCGCCTTCCACTAGAACGGTGCATTGAAAGTCGGCCCAAGCACCTGCCCACCCTCCATCGTACCCACGGCCCCGGTGGGTGCAATCCCCTCGGGGAGGCATCTCCTGGCTGCTGCCGCGGCTGCATTGACGGGAACTTCCACCCCGAGCAAAAATAAACTCGACTCAGCAATAATTGCCCTCCTCGCCATGAGCATACTCCTTCTCCTCGGACTTGTCGCGCTGGCTGCCCGGTGGTTCTTCTCCTCTAATAGCCCGAGACGAGGCGGGTTGCACTCACCCCCGAAGCCCAGTCATTAGAGGGTTTTTGTCCGTCCAGGAACAGGATTACGGACACGGACAAGGTGGGGTTTATGATGATGGCCCGTGACCCTATGTAGGTTGGACTTGGAGGTGTTTATGTTTGCGCGGATCTTGGTTATCTATCCTTGGAAGATTGAATTATTCGCTAGGCGTCGTTCGAACTCTACGTGTAGGTTCGAGCAAGCATCTGTTCGCGGCGAGTCAAATTAATAGCACGGATGTAGACCGGGGGTCAAGCCGTTCTGTGTCGCTGTCTGATCCGGGTAGAGCCACAACGAATCCTGAACCTTTTGGGTACGTAAAACGAAGCGTGAGATTAATTTTAAACCCATTCCGGATTGATCCGACACACTGCATTTTTCCACTGACTTATCACGGTCCACCTCCATTGCTTCCAGTGACCACCGACTCAAGTAAATGGCTGTACGTCCCAAGTTGTTTTTTGTACGGTGTTCTTACCGCGTCATCAATGCCTGCATTCAAGCGAACACGCACCGAGGACCAAAATCGAGGACGATTTGCAATGAGTAGAGACGCAGGGTCGATGTCACCCTTCTCGTGTATCCTATCGAAGGACGAATGAGAGCAGAGAACCGGCTCGTAGCGGATGGTCCGTACCTGCACCGTTAACACTAGCCGTAAGCAACTTTAGGGCAGGGATACCCGGTTCGACTCCGGGACAAGCCATTGAGGGGTAACATGAATTCGCTTTTTTGTCCTGGCTTTCAGTCGCACACTAGTGTGAGTGGAGATTTACCTGGTATAAGGACGAACGAATCCCCAATAGCACGAACTCTGTTGAGAATAAGGACCTTGCCTGATACAGACGCGTATGCACAGCAGAGAACGCTGGTTCGATTCCGGCGCCAGTTTACACTGTGTGTTCGACCTTGATTAGTAGTTCGATTTACTAGGTAGAAATATCAACAGCGATTGCTCCAATTTTGCAATAGAGTTTACAGAAACACAGTATTGCGTATTTCAGGGCTGACCTATCGCATTACACATTAAAGGAAACACCGACTCGATGGCGGATGGTCCGCACCTGCTTTCGTTGGCTGTCCGAGAACGTCATTTACGAGCAGGAAATGCCGGTTCGATTCCGGCTCGAGTCTTAGTTGTACATGGAAACATTTTTTTCTTCTTACTGTCAGTGTGAGCAGGAGAATCAACCAAGGAGTGGGAAGAGTCAGTTTACGAATGGCCAGGTCGGTAAATATCTCTGAATATGTACGCACCGAAAAACATGGTCGAGGCCGACGATTTCGAGTCGGTTGATGCCTTCCCGCTCCCGCTCCCGCATCCCTGGTATATGGAAGAACAATCGCAGAATAGAACCGGCTCGTGGCGGATGGTCCGCACCTGCGCCCGTTCGAGAGCCTGGAACGATATTGACCAGCAGGGGTACTCGGTTCGATTCCGGGACGAGCCATAGACAGCGGGAAGTAAGGTCTATTCTTTTTGAAGCACGCCACACCAATTGAATGGAAACGTCTCTGATATACTGTAATATGGACGAATATTCAAGGCAAGGACAGACTCTGTGGGCTCGGCGTGAATACCCACGTTGCGGAGCGGGGGCGTTGGGGAGCATCGGGGAGCTGGTTCGATTCCGGCTGGAGTCTTGGGAACGAGGACGACTCGGATTATTTTTCCGGCGTTGGCCCGGGTGGACTTGTCAGCATCGGAGGGTCGAATTGTTGGATTGCTCAAAGCCTGAGGTGGATAGAAATTTCGGAGGAAGTTGTCGAGGATGCGATTTAGGCTCCTAGTCATGCGCGTGGTGCGTGGCACCAGTTGAGCGCAGGCAGCTTTGCTGACATCGCGGAGAATTACCGCTGGTTAGGCTTGAGTCGAGTCATAGGCGATATATCAGGGGAAATAACTTGAGCGTTTCGTCCAAGTCCAGCTCCAAGTCAAGGTCCAAAGTCCGTGCCGTCGTCTTTTCTGACTCTTGATCTCCAGTGGCCGAAAGTTGCTGACTCAGAACCCACCGGCTGCCCAAGACTGGACAGAGCTAGGAATTCGCTTGTCCGCTAGCTTGTTGCACCTACTTTAGAGCAAAGTCCGCTGACAAGTGGATGAAAGAAGAACGCGAAGGCGCGTGTACGTAATCATCCACATTTCAGCAATTTCCTTATTCGGACGCCCTCTGGAAAATTGGGCTCAATTCAAAAAAAAAACGCAGTGGGAACTCGGGGAGTGGGCGGTTCGTTTCCATTCATCCTCGCCAATGGATCCGGGGTCTATGTACCTATGTACCTGTGCACGATACGCTACATACGTCGTAGTGAGTAGTAAGAGAGAGATGAGTGAGATATAAGTAAGATGGTCGATGTGAGATGCATATGCTAGACGCAATGATTTTGTTTGTGTTAGGTAGGCGGGTGGAGGAGAGATTAGGCGCGGGTGAGGTAAAGCGTAAAGAGAGGGTGGGAGGACGTCGTCGTGGAGAGTACCCAAGGTGAAGGGAGGGGGAGAGGAGAGAACGCGGAAGCTAATATCCTCCCCGACCGCCGCCAAAGCCGCCCTGCTGCTGCCCGCCCCCGTACCCGCCCCCGCCCTGCTGCCCGCCGCCGTACCCCCCGCCCTGCTGCCCGCCGCCGTACCCCCCGCCCTGCCCGCCGCCGTACCCGCCGTTCCGCGGCGGCCCAAAGGGTCTCCCGAGCTGCGGCTGGCCACTAGGTGGCGCTCCCCAGCCACCAGCGCCGCCAGCACCGCCATAGCCACCGCCAGGGGCACCGCCGAAGCCGGGGCTCTGCCTATCGAGGCCAGCAACGCGCGACCCCTGCGGCTTGTTGATCGCGTACTCGAGGTTGAGGATCCCGAAGGGCGTCATGGTGCCGGCGACGCTCTGCAGCGCGAGTGTTGCGCGCTCGACGGACTGGAACTCGATGAAGCCGGACCCGGTGAGTTCGCCGGTGACGGTGGAGCGCACTGGGGTCGTGTGAGTGTGTGTTTTCTTTTCCAAAAGAAAAAGAAATTAAAGAGAAAGAGGACTCACGGAAATGCGCCTTGACGATGCTCCCCTCAAACTCTGCCAGCGCCGTCCTCAGCGTCTCCTCGTTCCCGCGGAAGTCGTAGAAATACAGCTTGTTAATCGGGGGGTTCGACGCCGTCGGGCGCTCGGGCGCAAAGTCCACCCGGATATTGCGGTCGAGCATATACAACGGCTCCTCCGCAAAGCTCTCATACGCCGCCTTGGCATCCTCGACGCGCATGTACTCCACATGCGCGAACCCGCGGAACTCGCCCCCGGCGCGGGTGGCGAGGCGCACGCTCTTGAGCGGGCCGAAGGGCTCGAACTTTTCGCGCACGTCCGCCTCCTCGCTGCCAAAGGGCATGTTGCCCACGAAGAGGACGCGCCCGACGGGGTTGCGGCCGGCGGACGGGGTGCCGTCCGGGCTGGTGCTGGGGCGCGCGGTGGTGTTGGGGCGCACGGCGTAGTCGACGCGCGCGGGGCGGTTAAAAAGGTACAGCCCCGTCGTGAGGCATGCGTCTGCGGCTGCCTGGTCCTGGAAGGTCGCGTACGCGAAGCCGCGGCTCGAACCGTCGGGGTTGACGACTGGGAGCAGCCAAAATCAGAAAAAGATTGAAAAAATCGGAAAAAAAACTGACTGATCCGCAGAGACTCGAGTTCACCAAACGCTAAGAGGGCGGTGCGCAGATCTTCCTCGGATGCCTCAAACGCAAGGTTTCCCAGGAAGAGCTGCCGACTCGGTGGGTTTTCTGAGATCGGCTGTGTGCGCGCCGGAGCATCAAAAAGCCGTGGTCGAGTCGTCGACAGTGCGCGCAGCGAGAGGAGGGTGGTGGGGTTGGTAATGCGGGCGACCAGCGTCGGGGCCGTGCGGTGGACGGCGGCGACGAGCGCTATCCGCGTTTGCCTCCGGATTGCGTTGACGAGCATTTTGTGGGAGATGGAAAAAAGTTTTCAAAGTTTGGTGCTGCGTGGTCGTGTTTGGTTTGACCGATGTCGGCTTCTCAACTCTCATCCTCAACTCTCATCGCGGAAAACTATGGCAAGTCTCTAGGGCTCAAACGAAAAAATCAACAACTTCCAATACCATAGAACTCGACTCGGAATTGAACCAGCTTCACTCTGCTTTCAATGACCTCCGACGATGGAAATAGTGATGTTCCGGCTTTGGCCTCAGGCCGTGAAGCCCCGGCTTTTCGGCTTCCGCAGCCGGGCCAAGCCGAGCCGTCATGAGGGCCTGAGCCGGCTTTTGGCCCGGCCTGCCCTTGTTCCAAGCCCAGGCCGAGCCAGAAAGCCCCGGCTTTTACGGCGTCAGCACAAAGACCTGCTGTCGCAACTTAAGAAGTCACCAATGGCCATTGTTATCTTCCTGTAAGGTTGTTGGGATCTTATTTGGGACTCAACTTCTCTAACAATTTGCTAACAAGTCAGTGAGCTGAATTGATTAAATCAACGGTTGAATTGATGGTATCACCGCACCTCTCTGGTCCATTCGGGGGGGTGGCCTCAAAGAGTGGTGATCAATACTATGAAACTATTGATATGGAAGCCCATATAAACCATTATAAAGCATTGTAAAGTAATTAATACTCACTATATACCCACTGCAAACAAATCAACCAAAGCCCCGGCCTGAGCCAAAGCCGGCCCAAGCCGAGCCGGGCCTAGGGGAGGGGGCCCGGCCTGGGATTTTGGAAAGCCCAGGCCCCTCGAAGCGGGCCAAAGCCCCGGCTTTCAGGCCAAGCCCAGGCCGGCACATCACTAGATGGAAATAAAGAGCGAGCGCGGACCATTCGCTATGAAAAGTTATGCTGTGCCGTAGTTAGTAACTACGGCACAGACAGCTGAGCTCGAGACACTATGGTGTCTTGGCAGTCAAAGTTGAAAGAAAAAGTGCTCCGTCTTCATCTATGACTCGTTGCGGAATCGAACCAGCTTCGTTCTGCTTGATGTTTCACTGAGTTTCCCTTATGGAGAGCAGATGCGGACCATCCGCCATCGAGTCGCTCCACACTGTGCTAATTACGACGCAGACATGTGAGTTCGCAATGGGGTGCTACCATTCAAAGTGGGAAAAAAAGTGTTGCCATACATACACTATGACTCGACCCGGAATCGAACCGGCTTCATTCTGCTTTCAAATCTTGAGGACTCCAATGAAGAGCAGGTGCGGACCATCCACCATCGAGTCGTTCCATATGCTAACTACGACGCAGATATGTGAGCTTGTAATGGGGCGTTGCCATTCAAAGTGAAAAAAATCATGGAACTTCACATATGACTTAGAGTCTTAGACTCGTTCCGGAATCAAACTGGCTTCATTCTACTTTCAATGATGTTGGGACAGCTTACAGAGAGGAGGTGCGGACCATCCGCTATCGATTCGTTAACCAAGGCGCAGATATCCGAGCTCGAAACACTATGGCGCCTTGGCAGTCGAAGCAAAAAAAAAGTCCTTGAACACTGGCAGCCTATGACTCGTTCCGGAATCGAACCGGTGTTCTGTGCACAAGCTCTTTTGTCTCGTCGCACAAGGAGCGCAGTTGCAGACCCTCCGCCATCGAGTGGTTCCGGCCTCTGACATCAACTCGAATAAACCATCTAAAAATTATGGATCGAATTGTTCAGTTCGCAAGATCTAAAAAAGGCAAATCTTCACAGGCGCAAACCCTCCGCTTTGAAGTCGTTGGTCGGTTGATTCATCCTTCAAGATGGATTGGCACATAGATTTCGTTTGCATGTGCATCTGCAAGGCAAATGCAAAATGTGTGAAAAAAAAAAGTATGGCGAGCCGGAGGTTGTTCACGACTCGATCCGGAATCGAACCGGTGTCCTGCATGGAATCTCATTCGGGCCTCTTGAACCGAGAGCAGGTGCGTACCATCCGCCACAAGTCTTCCTATACCCCAACTTGCCCTCGACTTTACCAAACAGGTATTGGCCGGTGCAAAAAGTACAAGCAATCGAACCGACACCATGTAACTCTGCCTTCATTCATATTTGAAAGCTCGTCTTCCCCCAGTTGCTTGTGCAGGAAAATCCAATCAATCTTTGCACACCGAGATACGTACATCCTCGATTATACCTCGCCCAATTTCTTTCTGTGCTCAATGAAAAAAAAATCAACACATCGGGAAA